TATTCTACAGATCTACAGATCAAAACCCTGCTACCTACGGACCTATGACAGCCTACCAACTGTTTACGAATACACAGGTCACAGGTTCAACTCTCGGGGTCTACACAGGTACTGTACACGGGTAGGGCAAGGTCTAGGGATCGAGCCCTGGGATCTGCTACTGCAAAGAGGTGAAAACCGTTTCACTCCCGCCGTCCTAAATTCGAGGTCCTCCGAGAATATTTCAGTCCAAGGCAGGACCTTTACCCTTCTTATCACGCTCATAGGCTCGGACTATGTCGGGAGCTGTTTCTAGAAGTTCTGTTCTAGTAAACCAGCGGTCGTCTTCCGGTTCCTGATAAGCAAACCGTACTTTATACTGTTTCTGTGGACGACCTCTACCTCCTGTCCTAAATACATCTTCATCTATGATGCCGTCAATGTCATATCTTCCATCCATATCCGGAGGGATCATGGATCTTCTTGAAGGAAACTGTTGACTTGTGACACACGGCAACAACTTTGAAGCATGGAACACAGGGTAGGTGTGGAGGTGTGCTGGAATCTCTACAGTGTAGRAYGGTCCATCCTCTCCGCCCTCGACTTCTAGAACCGGCCACGGTCCTCTATATGCAGGCAGTAACTTCTGCGAGATGTTCTCCTCAGGTGCAAACTCTTTAGCCTTGACCCAGACTAAGTCGCCTACTTGAAACTGCGATGGGCGACGGTGCTTATTAGCCTGTTCTATCATTATGTACTGGGCCTTCCCGAGGTTCTCAACAACAGTTGCTAGCTCTTTCTCATGTTGTATCGCGAACTCCCTGGTACCGGGCTGTAGCCTGTGAATCTGGTCCCGATTGAGTCCTTCGAATGGTCTGCGTGGTCTAGAGGACTTGTGCAGCTCATTGGGAGTGCGACAGGTGGACAGATGCACGCTGTTATTGTATGCGCTAGCTACTTTAGGCAACATTTCGTCCCAGTTGATCTGGTTGGGTCTAATGTATATGCGCAAAACTTGCTGTAGGATCTTGTTCATTTGCTCGGTCTGACCGTTGGTCTCTGGGTGGCGTCCACATGACATCAACAACTTAGATCTGTACACTCCCATGAGTTTTTGCCAATTCTGGCTGGTGAAGCGACTATCTCTATCGCTAACTATTGACAACGGGACTCCATTCTCACTAACCCAAAAATCAAAGAACTTTCGTATAACTAAATCCGTACGTGCCTCTGCAGGCAGGAAGACAAAAACTGCATACTTACTGAATCTATCAACTACGACCATGACTTGGCTCTTGCCATGCCTACTCTTGACACCGACATCCATAAAGTCAATGGAGACTGAGTCTCCAGGCTGGTCTGGGATAGGCAAGGGTCTGAGAAGACCTAGAGGGGCTCGCGTAGTGGTCTTGTTCCTTTTGCAAACTTTGCAACTGCGAACATACTCTATGCAGTCAGCTTTCATTCCTGGCCAGGTATATGCATGCATTAGATTGGCTAAAGTCTTCTGCCAACCGAAGTGTCCCTCTGTATCGTGACATTCCCCTAGGATCTGACTACGGATCTCCTCACTGTTGGTAATGCACAGACGGTCGGATACATTAGTCTTCTCGAACAGTAATCCCTCAGTAGTGCGTTAGTCTGGTTCGGTCTCTGGGGCCTCCTTAACTCTCTTGAGGAGGTCACTATAGATAGGGTCCTGTGCATAAGCCTGTCTAACTTTCTCTTGCAGGTCTCTCCCTATATCCAGATAGTGAACTGTTGCTCCAAAGTAGTCTGATCTTCTACTCAGAGCATCCGCAACTACATTGTACTTGCCCTTGACCGGTTTGAGCTCAAAGTCATATTGGTCTATCTCTGCGGCCCACCTAGTCAGCTTCGGTGTCATTTTGGCCTGGGTCTTTAACCATCTAAGCGTTTCATGGTCAGAATACACTTTGAAGTGCCTCCCAAGCAGATAGTGCTTCCCGTGCTCTAAAACCTGCCTAAGAGCGTAGAGTTCTCTCTCATACGTCGAGGTAGCAACCTTCTCTGAGGGCATCCTCGCTGACATGAACTCTACGGGTTTGTAGCCATTACCGTCGTCCTGCTGTAACACGACGCCTATCCCATACTGACTCGCATCCGTGGTGACGACAAATGGCAAAGACGGATCGACAACTTTGAGGACAAGATACTCTATTAACGCGCGCTTCAATTTCTTTAGCGCGGACGTACAGTCTTTATCCCACTGCCAGATTGTATATCGTTGTCCTGCTGTAACACGGCGCCTATCCCATACTAACTCGCGTTCGTGGTAACGACAAATGGCAAAGACGGATCGGCAACTTTGAGGACAGGATACTCTATTAACGCGCACTTCAGTTTCTTTAGCGTGGACGTACAGTCTTTATCCCACTGCCAGATTGCCTCTTTCTTTAGCAACCGGCGAAGGGGAGCGGCGATAGTAGAGAAGTTCCTCACGAACTTCCTATAGTAATTAGCTAGGCCTAAGAACGACCGCAATTCAGTCAATGTGCGGGGCGTCGGCCACTAATTGTCGCTATCTTGCTGTCCTCTGGCTTAATGCCATCCCCGTGTAATACGTGGCCCAAGTACAGGACTTGTATCTTGGCTCACTCGCGTTTCTTCGCGTTAATCTTGAAGTTAGCTTCTCTCAACTTCTCCAAGACTTGCCTCAAATGACCCCGATGCTCTTGGAGGGTTTTGCTGAACACTAGTATATCAATTAAATAGACTACTATGAACTTTTATAACCAAGGTCATTCGTACAACGCTGAAATGTAGCTGGCGCATTGGTCAGTCCAAAGGGCATCACTATAAACTCGTAATGCCCATATCTAGTCCGGAATGCAGCCGTGTATTGGTCATCAGGGTGGACCTCTATCTGATGGTATACGGACTTCAGGTCTATCTTAGAGAAGTATTTGCAACCCCGCACCCGATCTAAGAGATCGTCTATCTTGGGCAGTGGTTCAACATTCTTCACTGTGATAGCATTCAAACTCCTGTAGTCTATACACATTCGCAACTCTCCCTCTTTCTTGGGGACGAACAAAACCGGTGCTCCAAAAGGAGACGAACTGGGCCTGATCCAACGTTTCTCCAGGAGCTCATCTAGCTGCTTGCATAGCTCCTCTAACTCTCTAGGGGATACCCTCTAGACTGCTCCCTTAGGAGTTCTACTGCCAGGCTCTATCTCTATCCTGTGTTGGATGGGTCGCGACACTGCTCCTGTCGGCGACTCAGTTAGGTCTTTAAACTCCTACAGCAGTTTGGCAATGGTTGGATCTGTGGAACCATCTCCTTCCTTAGGCTCAGTGACAGGTCTAACATATACCACAAAGACCTGATCCTCTTACTGCTCCTTTTTCACTAGTCGCGTGAACGCGGGAGCACTGAGACAACAATGTGCCAAGGTGTTATCTACACCTGACACATGAAACAAGCGAGCCGTCTTAACCTCGCCTGATGGACTCGGGAGCCTACACTCGTGCTCTCTTAAGTGGAGTGTGACCCCCGCTGCCTCTCCCCAATCCATCCCTAACACTATGTCGAAAGGGAGGTCATCCTGAACGAGGAGAGTCGGTGAGTGGAGAACTTTCTCCACTTTCCCATCTTTCTCTAGGCGAAAGTACGCCTGGACTGCCTCTACATAGTCCTCAATTCGCATCGTGTGGTTGCTTGCGAGGACACTGACTATGGGGTCTGCCAATTTCTGGACTTTTAATCCTAGCCTCGACTTCTTTAGCGCCCTACGGCTAATGTAACTGCGGGTGGCCCCTGAGGCTATAAGGGCCCTACTCTGCTTCTAAACACTTCTACGTCTACCAAGATTAGTTGTCCCTTACTCTCCTTCTTCATTTTGGCCCAGGCTGGCATCCTCTCCTTCAATTCTTCTGCCACGCCTGTGAGGGACGTGCCTAGAGAGACGCTAACACAAGCAGTCTGTGGACAACTAGCTAGGCACGGGCCTGCAACCTCTGCCATAGGCTCATGTGGTTTGGGAGTTTCCTGTATGCGCGCACTCGTTTCCCCACGTGGCCTGGAAGTAGGGGCAGTCGCGACCCCTACTGGCGGCTGCCTTTTGACTGCTGAGCAGCCCATCGGGCCTGTCTATACTCAAGACAAAATTTAATAACGTGGGCCGGGTCACCACAAAACACGCACTGACCCAAGTCTACGTGTTCCTGCCATATGCGCTGGTCCAAGCCCAAATCCTCCCAAGGCCTGCCCTGTGGCAAGCCTGGGTGCCATCCTCCTTGAGGTGGCCTTCCACCTCGTCGTTGTGGGGACCGACAAAAACCCTGACGATTTGGCGGGGGACCTTGACCCCTACCTCCCACTTGGCGGTTCCCTTGTCCGCCAACCCCCTATGCGCCCGGTCCTCGGCCTCCCATGGCCTGGCCCCTTTGGCCCTGGCCTCCTCCTCTACCTTGCGGCTTCCCTCCAGTCGTGACAGCCGCATAGGACCTCCCCTGCCCTACATTGTTGTCCTCCTCCTCAAGGCCCCACTCGATCTGACTATACGGGACCTCATCTGTACCATCCTCCTCTAAAGTAAGGATCATGTGATCCTTGGCCCTGACTTGGCCAGAGATGGTACGCCCTTTCCACTTCTTTCCCTTATCCAAGTCCTTATGCCAGAAAGTGGAAACTGGCATGGACTTTGAACAGGACCACCTCTCTACTTAGCACATCGTACATGATGTCGGCCTGTTGAGATTTGTCAAAGAAATGCCCACGCAGGGGCTCTGGCATGGCACGATAAAACAATTGGACCAACTGGGGTTCAGTGACCCCATGGTTTGGGACAGCTACCAGGTCGTCCATGACGCCCTTGAGTGCTCTTGCACTCCTCCACTGTCGCGAGTGGATGGTCTGTAGCTTGTCGGAGGGTCTAACGCCTCTCGTTGGATCAGCGAATCTCTCCCTTAGGAGTTTGAAGAATTGAGAGGGGAGTGACTTTAGAATATGCAACCAGATTGTTTTCACAACCGGCTGCGCGCGCAAGAGATCTAGCAAAACTGGCAGCTTCATTTTTGAGGGCCTGGAAGGCGACGAGGACTTGCTCCTCAGTCAGGATGTGCTGTAAGTACACGTAACTATTAACACTAGCCTCCCAGTTATCAAAGTTCTCCTCCTTCTTTCCCCCGTATGCATCTGGAAACTTGAGCTTTACGGGTTCTTTACGGGGCCTGGCCTCACTTTCGACAGCGGCTACTGCTTTGGCACCCTCTATGGCGCCTTCGCAGGGCTTCCCCACGTTGTCCCTCAATTGCCTGACTTCTCCTCCAACATGGGTGACTATGTTGCGCGCAAAGTCTCGGAAACCTGACCGCATGGCACTCAGGGCTACATCTTGACTCTAGCTAGCCTGGCGCTCCTCCATCCAAGCTGCACTCAACACTTCTAAATACCCCAGCATCTTATCCATTTTGGCAGACATGCCTGTCTGCACCTGCACCTCCTGTCTGCAATCCCTCACTTTTGCCACTTCTTCGGTCAGTCTGTTTACCTCCTCCCTTTTCCTCTTCTTTTCCCTCTTCATCCTCAGTTTCCACTCCAGCTTCTTCTCCTCCTCCGTCTCTTGCCGTTCCAAGGGGTCCTCGATTGCTGCTAGCTCCCTGGCTAAGGCATCCCTCTCATCCTGGGGCACATAAAACTCTGCCTCCTCATCTTCCCCCAACGATAAGTTAGCAATCCGTTCGCTGATCTTTTTCTCCATCTCTTCATCTTCATCCTTCTTCGTGCCACTACTCTCTCCCTTTCCTTCAGTACGTTTTCTCTCTTTTTCTTCTTCTACTCCTGCTTCCCTTTCAGCAGCCTTTCTCCTCTCTTCCTCCTCCTGCTGAACTCTCTTCATCTCCTCCTCCAGTTTCTTCATCTTTGCTGCCTACTCCTCTGCAATTGCCTTTAACTTAGCTTGCTTCAGGAGCTCTTTCCTTTCTTTATTTTCTCTCATTAGGGCGGCCATCTTCTCCTGCAGTTCCTGGGTGTAGGGGCTAGTGCTCTTCCCACTCTGCGTGTCAACCATGGTGATCAGTGCGCAATCGGGTAAACGGTTCCAAACCTCACCATGTAGACTCTAACCCCTGACTGACAAACCTATTGACTCAATCTAAGGACTCGCAGAACCCGGACAGGGATGCTGCCAACTAGGGTCTCTAGCCTTGACCTACACTATGGCTGTCACTACTAGACCTTTTTGCTGATCAGGAGGCATTTAAGGAGATCCCCCGTAACTCCTCAGGAATTATTTAACGTCGCAGACAGGACGATGCGATCAGCAGGTCTCTCAACACTTAGACGGCCTGTTGTGCAGCCCACAGCTCAAATTTTGGGCATGCCGTGCCACACCGAGCAGCCCGCCGGTCAGTACCGGTCCTTGGGAGGGTTAGGCCTCTGGGACAGCCGAGTCCTTAGACACAGTTTTGAGCCCTATTCAGCCTGTGTGGGTTTGGTCAACAAGGCCCTATCCTTCATCCACAGAGTACTATCACCTAGATAGAAGAAACTCAATGCAGAAAGAAAAGACAGACAGACTGGACTCAGCAAGTGCCACAGGGTGTGTGCACATCCATAGGGCGAGGGGTAGGTTGAAGGCTTGGCGAGATTATACCGGCTCCAGCTTGGTCAAAGTTTTGGTCAACGGCTTGGTCAACGCCGGTCAACGCTGCGGTCAACCCTTGGTCAGCTTCGGTCAACGCCGATCAACACCTTCGGTCAACTCCTGGTCAACCCCGGTCGGCTATGGCTGCCGGCTTCTCTTTCCCTCACCAACCTTCTTCTTCTCTTCACCTTCCTTGCCTCCTTTCACCCCGACTGTCTCCTTTTTTTTTTTTTTTTTTTTTTTAATGGTCTCTCCTTCTTCCTCCTCGGCTATGGCTTCTCTCTCCCTTCTCGGTCTCTCCCTCTGTCTACTCTGTGATCAAACTTCACGGCTATGGCCGCAATCTTCTTCTTCGTGGGACTGCGCGGCACACTTCACAGGTCAGTGACAACCAAACTTGTATCGCTCATCTCTCGTTCTCTCTCTCTCTCTCTCTCTCTCTCTCTCTCTCT